CATCCTTTACAAAGTAATGCTTACACTATAATGTACAATGCCGGGAATGGTTGGTTGCTTTTTATGCTGAATTCCACCCCTATGCTAATCCTGCAAATTCCTGCCGATAAGGTACTTCCTGTATTAAATTCACCCACACAGGTGTTTTAGTCTATCTTGAGTGGGCACTACTCCCACACACAGTGTTCTGCCACTAGCCCTAAACAGCCTTGCCCTCTGAATGAAAAGCACTAAAGTGCAAACCCTCGGCGAACTGGGCACTCGCAGTATATACCTGACTAATTGATGGCCTGGGCTTTTATTATGCGTTTACTCGTGGTCCACGCTGGTATAGCTCGCGGAGAGTCTGACACGGGCTAGCTACAGTAGTAGATAGCATGCGGGAGTCGATACACGCCCTTCGTTGTGACTCCTTGTGCCTTCAAGATACACAGAGCAAGCGGACCCGGTCGAGGTAGGCCTGTGCTAATTTGCAATTGGCTTGTTCACTTGCTTTTCACGCCATAACTTTTGAACGCCGTAGTTATACGAAAATCGCCTTTTTTTAAATGAAGCCAGTGTAGCGATGAACCCGTTAGTATCGCTGTTACGCCGCCTGGTAGCCTGTAGTGCGAGAACTCGCGTGGACAGACAGACAGACTCACGGACCAAGTACCGTAACCCTCGCTGCGCATGCGCGCCGAGGGTTAATAAACCACCCATCAAATGCCTCTTCCGGGACCGAGGGGTACGAAACGGGCCGTATGACGTATATACGAGATTTCTAAAAGCCCGTGATTTCCAACTGATTTCTACTGATTTCAAGAATTCCACGTGATTTGCTGAACGCTCAGAGCTTACACTTGTTGACAATGGTGTTCCTATATGACGAAACTCCTTGTTATTCCTCTTGGACAGTATAACCCTCATGTGACGCTCATCCTCCACAAACATGCTCATTCCTGCTATGAGTGGCTCTAAAAACAAATATTCCCTGTTTGCACAGAAGGTCCTGCACTTGATTGACATGTTGAAGGAGTTTATCCAATTGGGATTATACTCCCTAGCTGTCTTGAGACATTGTGGCTGCTGAGAAAGCACCTCCTGTATTTCTATGACATACATTTTATTGTAAAACGCAAACAACATTAAGCACTTTCGTAGCTTCTTGAAGCACAAAGCAAGCACAAAGCAAGCACTTTATGATGCAAATCTCATTTAATGTTTACTCTGGCGTCTACCAGCTACAGAACACTAGCAATATCAGATATAATAATGTCTTTAGTTTTGTTATGTTGCCTGAAAATACAATTTTATTTCGCCCATTATCATTCTTATCATTTCAAGCCTTTCATTGCTCCGAGGACTCGCGCGGACAGACAGACAGACAGAATGACAGAACGACTACCGTAACCCTCGCTGTGCATGCGCGCCGAGGGTTAATAAATGCAAGCCTTGCACATAATGCTAATGAGAATTTACCGCTGACCTTTGCTCATCTTTAGCTGTATGTGCTGTTAACAACTGCTTTCCTAATGTAAGCTGCTCAGCTGTGCATTGATATTTTATTAATTGTGATAGGTTGCATGCACAATTATGGTAGTTTCTGCCACATGTGCAGCTTATTGTATTTGAGTCTGCAGCTGAGACGGATGTATGCAGATCACTAAAATCGTTCATGTCTTGTGGTTTATATTAATGGCAACACACAGTAAAAAAACACACTAGTGAAATAATTATGAGCAATGTCACAACTATATAGTAATCTAATTCCACACTCAGACTTTACACACACCATAATTATTATACTACAGTAGTCCAGCTGTGTCAGAAGTGAGTGACTGCAATGAGCCTGAATTGAGGGAGAAATAATTAATTATGTACCCCAATGTCTGAAAAAAGAACCCTGTGAGTAAAGGACACCTCTCTATAACGGACACTTGGTTCTGTCCCATACTATTATTACCTCTGAATGAAGGACACTTTCATTGTTCCCAACGTGTGCCTTATTCAGAGATTTCACTATCGGGAACAGCCCATGCATAAAAGTCCATGGGAAGTGCTCACATCTGCAAAAGGAAGCATCCCCGTCACGTGCTCTGCTCTGTTCAGCTGCTCCATGGTCTCACTGCAGTCAACGGGCCTTAGACCCAACTCATATGAAGACAAATCCCCTGTAATCGGGAGCGACATTCTCTCAGGCATCACCCCCACCCCACTATCCAGTGATGTCACTTCTTTACTATTGGTTAAAGGCATAGCATCTTCTGTAGCTGCCCCCTGAAGCCCAATGGCCACGTGGACTTTGTTGTTGGGTGCTCTGTCTCCTGAGGCAGCAGTCGAGCTACCCTTGTTGACCGGTTCTTCACAGGTCTGATCACTATCTGGACCTTCTTTGGCGTCGTTTGTCTTGTTGTTCAGACCAACAGCCCCACTGGACTCTCTCGATTGGTCCTCGTCGGTTGCATGCACACGGCCCGTCTCCACGACAGTTTGAACTGTGAGAGGCTCATTGTGATCGGGGAATGGCTTAATCCCACCAGGGTCCCAGAAGGTGTGGCCACCAATGTGGGATCTTGTGTGATGATTCCACGGGGTAGAGAAAGGAGTCTCTCCACCTCCTGGGAATGACAATTCCCTATAGGGATGGAGCATCAGAACGCTATCATACTTATATGCACAAGTAGTTGGGATGTGTAAAGAATCTCGGTGCCTCAAACTACTGATTGATGATTTGGGCAATCGAGTGCGAGAAAGGATGAAAATATTCGCACAGCCCAAAATTAAAAAGCACTAAAGCAAGTACAAACCCTCTGCTAACCGCGCATGCGCGGAACTGCTAATTAATGGGCTGGGCTATTAGCATGCGTTTTCTCGTGGTCTCCCGCTAGTAGCTCGCGGAGAGTCTGCACAGGCTAGCTACAGTAGTAGATAGCATGCGGGAGTCGATGTGACTTCTTGTGCCTTCAAGAGACACAGGACCCGATATAATTGGCGAGCGGGAGCGAGTTAACCTAGTGGTCCGAACGGCGCGATTTATATGCGGCCGACCGCGTACGTCGTGTAAGTGCGCATGCTCCAGGATTACGCACTTCTTTTTATCCGAAATGATTTTCAAAATTTTCACATGCTAGTGCGTTTGTGTAGTGTGTACTCTCGCAATCCGCAATCATGGTTAACGCGGCTGACGTAATAGCGGGCGTGGTCGGTTCCTTAGGGCCGCCGGTCGGGTCCGGGTGCTACGCGCATGCGCTGATCACCCGCGCGCCCGGCCCTTCATTCGCGCGGCAAATACAAGCATCGCAACGGCACGGCAGGGTTTAGTCTTCTTAGCAACGCTCTGAGCATCACAGCCTTTTCTGCACCCTCCCTCCCTTCCCCAGCATAGGACTTCGCTAGTTTCCATCTCTGGCATATTCATAGGGATGTGATAAGAGTCAGGCTTCTTGCGCGTCCGAGGGTTTTCGCTATGGCGAAATCTTCGGTCCAAGCACAAAGTAGGTGCGTCCCGTCGTGCGCGTCACTCCGAGACCGGCGACACGGCTCGGCGGCACATGCGCAGTGCTACCTCCGCGGGCACACAAGCGCATGCGCTAGGTCGCCGACTCTGCCACATGCGTCCGTGCTCCATACTGCGTCATAGCCACATGCGCATGCGCATAACTTCGCACCGAGGCAACGCAGCCACACACCAACATTGATGGCGAAAAAAATAACAGCAGAGCGATCGGATCATTCGGTGCAGAACATGTAACAGGAGAAGGCGAGACGCGTTAACAAACACTGCCGCGAAGTATAGAACGAGACGCGCGCTCTGACCTGAAGCAGTATCCCAGCCCGAAAGTCCGGTCCACGTCCAATTGTAGTTGTTGTGCAACCCGCGTATGATATCTATAAACTTACACTCGGGTAGGGATGTCATCCATGTCTACTCTGTCTCAATATGCGAGCCGCCTGACTGGGATGGGAGCGGAGAATGAGTCAGCAGCACTTTGTGAATAATATTAGATTAGCTGTTACGTAATCGTTTTGTCTAAAAATAGATTGGCCACGAGTATAGCACGTAACATGCACACTGGCCTCATGACCAATGAATTGGTACAAAAAGTGTGACAAACACAGATACAACAATTGTGAAGATGATAAAAGTTGAAGAAGTGGGGTGAATATCATAATTATTATCGGAGATTAAATGGAGGTAAGTGACAGGTGTAAATTAATGTAGTCTTATACACAAGGTAATACTAGTTACATGTATTGTTGAACTTCAGCAAGAAGACGGTGTATAATGTCTTCCACGTTAGAAATCCAGCAAATCTCAGTCATGTTCCTGACCAGACCAATGCCCAGAGTAATCTGTGAGAATAAGAGTCAGTAGATCACTTGTTCCAAAGAAAGACAAAGAATGTCATTCCTACGGGTGCTAAGGCTTTAGTTACACAACGCAGATTTATCGTTATCCTTCGCTCCATGACATTAGGTTGGTCTATGGTATCTAAGTAGTTGCTTTAAAATGGCATTGAGAAGCTTTACTGAGTGTTTTTTAAAGTGCATATCATTCACTTTCACACAATTTCGAAACTAAATATCGAGAAATATTCAAACAGTCAAAGAAATAATCATGAAGTGCCATGTGGAAAAATAGTTCATTTTCAATGCAAGTTATTGGCTTCCTCACTTGCTCGTTGGTGATGGGGTTGTTGTCTTGAAGAATGAACAGCAGGCGATGCAGCATTACTCTTAGTCTTCCAACCTATATCAAGTATGGCAATAGGGGAACAGCAAATCACGAGCTGTTTCATATGGGCAAGTGTCAGAGCTTACTGAGGCTTCCATACAGTCTGGCCCAGCATCTTGTGAGTGGGCCGCAATACATGTAGTGGCATTGATCACCAGTTGCTGTGTCCCAATATCCACATACACGTCTTCTGCATCTATATTATAGTTATAGAACAGAATCACATTTTTATAGCACATTTCATCACAGCAACCAAGTGGAAATCTTACGGAGAGAGAAAGGAGTCTCCCACAAGGAGCAGATTCTCATGCAGTTTATGAGGTGGTGCAGAACCTCAACGGCAAACAGGAAGTTTCCATTCTGGAAGGCGTGTTCCAGATACTGCTCCAGAGGGATCGCTGCAGAAAGGCAATGACACAAGTAAAATGCCTGTTGTTCCCCTTCCCAGGATTTGCATCCAAATTATTAACCCTCGGCGCGCATGCGCAGCAAGGGTTACAGTAGTTGGGTTTGTCTGTCTGTCTGTCTGTCTGTCTGTCTGTCCATGCTCCAACTCACTTCTCGATGGTTTATTCGTCCCACAAACGATACGACGTAATAAACGGGTAATAAGGATCAGTTCGAACATTTTTCTCTGAAAATGCTCTGTTGCAAAGCTAGAGCGCGAAAAAGCCAATATGCAAATACACAACGGAAAGGGACAGCTTACCGCAGTCTGATCGATCCGCGTGCTCTGTGTATCTCGGAGGCACCAGAAGATGCAACGCAGGGCGTGTATCGCCTCTCGCATGCTATCTATTAGTGTAGTTAGCCCGTGTCAGACTCTGCGCAAGCTGGCAAGAGACCACGAGTAACAGCTAAAACTAAACCCAGCCCATCAATTAGTCGTACGGCGCATGTGTTTACTTACACGTGCGCGTCAGAATGCACCGAGGGTTTGCACTTCAGTGCTTTTCATTCTTACATGAGCCACACAGTGCATAGTAGATGGAACGCAACATGTTGTTGGCAGCGAATGCGAGTCACATGTGCGCAGCAAAATTACTATTCTTTTTCGTAGTTGTTATGATTATGTGCGACAGTGCCCTCCATGTCATTGTTGGGTAATTTTATGCATTCAGTAGGCTCGTTTTGCTCACCAATACTCCTTAATGACATAGTGTACAAATGATGTACTTACCCTGCACTTGTGGCAACCCATCTCTGCAGAAAATGGGTCGGATTCCATTCTCTCGTAGCTCTTCATAAAGGCGAGGCTGTAAGAAGGAACAGAGTCAATGAACTACTGAACTACATGGACAATTTCTGAATTCTCTCCTCCCATTCAGATGTGTGTGTGTGTGTGTGTGTGACTCACTAGAAATGGGCTTTCTTCCATTGGCGCCATAATCTCAAAGTCTGGAGTCACGTTTGACTCAACAGTCTCAGGCTCTGCGAAGCTGGGCATTCTGGAATAGGGCCCTTCATCAAGACCTCGTGACTCATCTGGAGTCATCTGTTCGGTTTCCTCCTGTGTTGGTATGCAGATAGTGGCCGTGGTGTTGTTGTGGGTTACCACAGAGTCAAGGTGAAGTAGAGCGAGTGAAGGTGTTGACTCGTCTTCATCATTCACTTCAATCACCTCTTCTACCACTTCACTGCTCTCTTGACTGTGACGTTGTCCAGTAACCGGCATTCCGTGGATGTCGAAAGAAGATTCCTCGACTGATTCAGACCAGTGGTCTCCAGTTCCGTCACCCAAATTCGTTTGTGAGGAGTCACCATTTCTGCACTCTTCCTCCTTACTGGCACTATCATCTCCTCGTCCCTCTTGGGACTCATTGCTAGAAGATGAATTGCGTCTCTCACGTGTTCTCGAGAGAGGAAAGACAAGAATAGACGTAGGTGGTGGATGCCAGTTCCATTGAAGGAGGTCATGGGTTACTACAGCACTGTTGTTGTGTTTTGCAGATTCAACCAGTGGATACGATATTTCGACGCTGTTGTCTTCGTAATACCATTGGTAGATATCTGCTGTAGTTGATATTGGCAAGTTAGTACCTGTCTCATTGTATTCAGACTCTTGGGCTTGAATTGGGGCAGAAATTTTATGCTGTGAGACAGACTCATCAGCCAGCAGGGGTTCTGTGTGAGGCTGCGCTCCGTTATCTTCCGTTTGTGCACCGGACTCAGTAGGACTATTGCAGGAGTATTCTTTAGGTATGAGGTTTTCTTTAACAAAACCGCTCTCCGGTTCACCTGCAAAGCTGATAAATGACTTTATTGGGTTTCCTAAACCACTGTTAGATGTTTTGGCGTCATTGTATGCAGGGTGTGGGGCTAACTCGTCCTCAGGCTGGTTTCCAGTAGTGGTTGCATTAGCATCGGGTGAGCTTTTATCCTCCTTGGTTTCGTTGTTTGTAGGGAGTGCCGCTTTATCATCGTCTATCTTGTCTTCAGTCCGGTCTTTGGTGGCTACTGCTTCCTTGTGCAAAGCTTTACCAGAGTCTGTCTGGACAGATACTTTCAATTGCACGAGAGGTAGTACTTTCTCATGGCCCTGCTTCTCAGTGTCCTTGTGTGGGTGTGGTGTCTTTTTCTTACGCTGCACTCCAGGCGGGTTTTGAGGAGTATGAATGTCACCACCTTTTCTCTGAATCTCGTTCTTCTGATCCTCGGAGAAGGCGCACACGGGCATGCACTCTTTTTCGGCACTCTCTTTAGTTTTGCCATCTTCAGTCCTATTTGCCCCACTATCTTCCTTTTCCTTCTCCTCCTCTTCCATTTCGTCTTCCTTGTCATCACTCTCTGTGTCTTTCTTTCCCTTGAAGTTATTCTCGTCATTGTTTTCGTCGTCTTCTCGTTTACCGCCACCTCCAGGAGAGATATGGCCAGCTCCACCACTTGGGCTTTCATTCGATCCACTACCAGAGGTGTTATTGTCCCCCTCCCTACCACTATTACCACTGCCTCCACCAGTGGTAGTGGTAGAGCTCCCTGACTCTGGAGAGGAGACCACGAGAACCGGCTGATTCAGATCAAGCGCAAGACATGCTGGCCTTGGTCTACTTGCTCCCAGAAGAGGCAGTAGAGAGACAAGTGCGTGAAGACTGATTAGCAGGGATTCCCTCTCAGCTGCTGAAACCTTGCAGACATCCTCAACTTCTTGGTGGATGTGTGCAGCCTCAAACAAGGCTTCCTGGCAGATCCATCCTGCTTGCTTAGCTACAGAGAAGGCAAGGTGAAGTGCGGTACCCAATCTAGTGGGAAAAGGGAGGGGATTATTTGGGGCTAGCTTTGTTTCCCTTGTCCTTCCTATGCTCCATGGTAATGGGCAAGGTTTGGCTAGGTGAGGATACTTCTTTATCCTACTCTCACCCCTGCCATAAAAACTGAGAGTCGTGTGCTTGCTTCTCTTTCTACAGCTGGCATGTAGCTGGAGTAAGAAGCGGTAAAGAGTGCACCAGTAGATGAAGTCGGGCCAGAAGGACTGGGTCTTCAAGCACGCAGAATTCTTCTTTCGTTGTTTTTTCCTCCGGCTTGTTTTTCTGGATGGGCATCTCTCTTGCTGACTGCTCCACATGATCCTCCTTGGACCATCATTATATTCACTCGCATTGGTGCCAGCGCTTGCAAGCATACAGAATTGACTACTGTTACGTTTTCTCTGTCTCTCTTCTTGGTCTCTGGCACACTCATCACACTTCTTCTTTTTCAACTTTCTTTGAACATTCTCTCCTGTTAGAAAGCTATGCCCAGTACTCAGGCATGCCTGCATTGAGCAAAAGCTCCCCACCGGTTGACTGAACAAATAGCTACAAGGGAGAGGGGTTGAATTCACTGGTGAGGGAAGAGAGCTTGAAGAGATCAGACCAAGGGGAAGTCATGTGGCTCAGGTGGTTTGGATCGCTGCCAGCAAACCTGCAAACTGTCGCAGCCCTGATATCCTGTAAACGCAGATCAAACTCTGGAGAGCATGTTGTGTGGCATGAGGCAAAGCCAAACATAGGAAAAGCTTTTTGTTTCCCACATGAAACACAGTTGATGATAATCCATCGGTAATCTTGGCATTGGGCTCTGGTGTGGGGTGAAGAGACTGGTGTACCCAGGCAATAGCACTTTTATGACAGTAAGATGTCGTCTTTGAATCCTTATAATTGCAGCTAGTGGTGTTGTTGGAGTTGGGAAGCATTGTGATTGAAATAGGAAGGGCAGGGTCTGAGCCAGGGAGCTGCACTGACCATGTAGTCGTGTAGATCGCAGCTTCATGGCTATTCATGGCACATCTTTCTCTTAGCTTGGCTGCTGGTCTGAGTTCGTGGCAAAATGGCTCATGCTTAAGCACATGTACCACCACAGTATTCCTCCTTGCCACTGTGCCTGGGTGTTGTTTGCACATTATTGCTCTCCTTATTAGGCCCGTAAGAAATGGCTCAAATTCTTGACTGAGCAGGTCAAATGTTGCAAGGATGAGAAAAGTGTGCATTTGACAGTCAAGCAGCACAGGGTAACTTAGAAATTCAAGTGATATTTGACCGTACGCAGGTTCCCTGTTAGCATTGAAGACAGATATTTCTTTCATCTGGGGCATGGTATTCTTCTTGTTCAGCAATGTGGTTCTGTGCATATCTACAGAGTGTGGTATGTGGCGGAGTGCTTGAAAGAGAAGGACCCTCTTACTCCATCTTGTTTGTTGTTCAGGGAGGAGGAGAACCTTATTCAGAAGCTGTCCATGTACAGACTGTGGAGCAGCTATGGTGTCAAAGATGAGTGTTTCTTGCGTGCCAGGGAGGAGTTGCACTTCAACACATTTGGCCCCGTCCTTTATCAAAGATACAGCCCAAGAGTGCTCTTTTGCCGTTGAAGTGTCCTTGACATCAATGGCACTGGGTTTAAGCATATCTGTTTGCGGTGGAGGCTTACTGGTCGGAAGATTACTCTTTGTTGGAGTGCAATGGATTGTACGTCGGAGTGGTTTTGGTGGGATGGTAGCTTTCGGAGAGGCTGGAGCTGGGATGTGGGAGGTTGAGGAATAGCAAGTTAGCTGCATTCTGCTGTAGTCACCACGGAGTGAGTCGGAGGTGGTTCGGACTAGCACTGTCCTGGAGTGGAGGTCCAGGAAACTACAAAGCACAAAGCCTTTGTTCTTGGAAGGGTCTACTAGAGCTCTGTGTGTACGTATCATCACGGCTCTCATGGCAGGCAGATTGTAACTGGCTGATGAAGCACACCAGTTAAACTCGGATATTATAGAGGTGGGGAGATTTCCAGAGACAAACGAGTTGAGTGTGTCTGGGGGCATGGGGCTTTGCCTTGCTGCCTGAATTAGCGGTGGGGATGCAGGAGTTGTTGCGCCACAAAGTGAAGGGGCAGCAGTTGTAAAAGCATAGATAGTTCCCAAAGTGTGTCGGGCACTTCTTCCTGGGACCACAATATGTGCACACACTGGCAAGGGACTGCAATGCTGAAAAATGTAACTGCATAGAAGAGATGTGGAGGAACGGATATGAAGAGCAATGGCCATGTCACTCTCTGAATGAAACACACGGCAGAGCAATCTGAAGAGGCGTGCGTCCACTGAGTACACATGACCCTGTTTATCACTGTAATGAACACCTGCAGATTTGGTAGCTGCAACAATCCACCAAGAGGTGGTTTGTGTGACTTTCGGTTCATTAGACTCCACTACACTGTTCAGCCTAACAAGGAAACTGCCCGTAGGTAGTGCCCCACGTTGCATATCAATGTACCCACAGGATTGCCTAATGATGACAGTATAAATGCCCTTTGAACTTGACAGATTATCGTGGTTGGAGGGTTGAGGTACAGGACTTCGTAGGGGACTAGTCTCAATATGTGACAACTGAATACTTGAGAAGCAATGGAACACATGAGAGACCATGCTGAAGATCCATGAATGCACTAACGAGTACATGCACCTCTGGCTATCACTGCTATGCATATTAGTAGCAGGGGGAAAGCACTGAGAGTCCTTCGGTGTGATTGCTTTCAACTGACAGGACTTGAGTAACGTCACTAGGGTGATAGGAGTGATCGCTGGATTTCGTCGTAGCATAACAATCTTATGGATGTACCCACAGGACTGCTTGATAAAGACAGGGTAATTGCTGTTGTCATTCTTTGATACGGGAAGGTTTTTGTGGTTGCAAGATTGAGGTGCAACAGTAGTAGCGGAAGAATCTACCGTGGGAATTACAGAGGATGAAGAGTGAAGTTGAAGTGTTGGAGCAGGATTTGGCAGGGCAGTGGTCTCGTGTTGTGATGACAGAGCGTTGGAGAAGCTACACGTGTGCACTGCCGAAAACATGAGGCTCAGACTATCTCTGCTAAGAACTGAATTAGTAGCAGGAACAATGCACCGAAAGTTATTCTGTGTTAGTTGAGGGGACTTGACCAGCATTGCAAGGGCGATAGGGGTGACCTTGGTTTTTCCTTGTAGCCAACAGGAACTCCTTAGGAAGACAGGATAGTCCCCATTTGAAATGGATACACTATTGTTGTTGCAGGAGTGAGGTACAGTACTTGTAGGAGAATGTACTGCGGGAATGACACAGGATGAAGATTGACGTTTTAGGGCTCTAGTAGAATTTGCAAGGTCATTCTGTGATGACAGAGTGTTGTAAAACACATCAGACGCAACCGTGTTTACAATGAACGCATCCACTGGAGAGCACATAAGGCTCTTGTTATCTCTGCTAAGAACCGAAGCTTTAGTAGCGGGAACAATGCACTGGGAGCTCTTCTGTGTGACTCCTGCTGGCAGAGTAGAGTCCACTACACACACCAGTGCAATACGAGTGACCATGGCATTCTCCACTACATAAAGACACACACAGTATACTTTGGCTGTGCAGAGGAGGGCAGTGTGTGGTCCACTGTGAATACAAGTGGAGTGGTGAGAGGAAGTTTTGACAAGAGCAGATGATTCTACTGCGGGGAGCGAAGGGAGAAGTCCTGAAGTAGGAGTTGGAAGGGCAATAGTCCCACACTTTGATGACACCCTATTGTAGAAGCAAGTGTAGAACATTTGGAAGATGCATGCACATGCTGTTGAGAGGACATGGTTGTAACTGGTTGCACCATTCAATGTAGTAACAGTTGACTTCCTTTTGTAGGTGGTCTCTTTATGGGACTCCCCTACACTAATCAGCTTACATAAGATCAGGGAACGTCCTTCTAGTGTGAACCCACAGATAACAGAGTAGGTGTATTCATCATTGGAAGGGTTCTCCCGTTTGCACGAGTGGTGTGCAGCAGTAGTGGAGAATCCCACAGCCGGAAATATACACGAATAATATGGAAGAGCTAGAGCAGATGTTTGAATAGCACGCTGTGACACAGCATTACGGTAGTAAGCGAACACCCGGGAGAGCATTCCAAAGATACGTGCACACATCGCCGAGTACACGTGGATCTGGTTATTAACAAGCAGGGCCTTGGTTGAAGGCAATCTCCTCTGAGAAACATGATGTGGAGCAGACATTGCCTCGTGCTTCGACATCACACTGTGCAAGCAATGAAACACGTGGGTGAACATTTTGAGGACACATGCATACATTGCCAAGTAATTGTGCCCCTGGATATCATTGTGAGGCACTAATACTTTGGTGACAGGGACAATCCACTGAGATTGGTTTTGTTGGAGCACTTTCAGTTGAGAGGACTCTACCAACATGATATGCTCAACAAACAAGATACGCACAGCAAAGAGTACTACAGTGTTTCCCTTTAGGATGACTACAACATCCAAGTAGCCACAGGAAAGTCTGGTTCTACTGAGGAAAATTGTGTACACGCAATGGCCACTGTTTGTCAGATTCAGAAGATAGGGAGGGTGTGGTCCATGCTGTGACACAGACATGCAGAAGCAGTGAGACAAAGGCAGGCTACTGACTGCATGTGGCTGTATCTGCTCAGAGCAACTACAGTGTTGATAGCTGACAGAACCATCTGTTGAGGGGTGTTTTGCAGAAAGGATTCCACCCCAATGACAAGTGTAACAAGGGTGATGCGAATGCGCAAAGAATAAATGTCATGGATATCAAACTAGAAACGTTCTTTTGTCCGAGGTGTAGGGGAAAGGGGAAGAAGCCTTGGCCTGCTTCAATGTTCACTTGTATCGGGTCTATTAATACGTGTTGTGTTGTGTGCAGGGAGAAAAGCGACGAGGGAGCGAATCCTGGCAATATTGCCCACATTGACCAAGACTTGAGGGAAGAACTGCCGAAAGAACTCAACCATGATAATTGCACGTAATAATTCCACAACTTTCCGACTGGGTTTGAGTTTGGCTTTAGCTATTGTTTCATTAAATGTATTGGTTACACATCTATTCCTTTACACAAAAATTATATGTTACATGCTTAATCATGTTCTACACTGCATGCGCGTCAGCGGCGTCGGCTACATAAACGCGTTGCGCGTATAATTTTCCGGGCTGCAGCCCGCTGGAGCGGAACTATTATAGTCCCACGCGCAGCTGAAGCAAGTCGCCTATAGTAGCTCTAACAGCTCTTAGTTTACCCCTCGCGCACGCGCGACTCGTCGACCCTGGAGCAATGAGTGATAATATGGGCAAAGCGATGTAATGATATCAGATACGTGCTCACCGCGTAACTCGCCGCTCGTGACCAGACTGTAGTCGCAGCGAAACTCTCTACAGTCTCGCTCGCGCTAGTACTGAGCAACTACTGACTTTCTTGTTCCTTACAGGTCCTCAATCTCGCGCTTACGGAGCTGCCTCGAGTACGTGTGCCTT